GTTGAACCTTTTGTGTCTCTCTGGCAAGATGTTCTGCTCCTGAATCAGCTGGGTGGGTCTTGCCTCTAGCCTCTTTGCAGGGAGTTCTGCTGAAGGGTTCTATGCTGGGCCTACAGCCAGGGTCGAATGAGGATCCACGGGCCCCGGGTCATCTCACTCACTCGCTGAGCCTGCACTCTGGGTCTATTCAGGATCCAGCGGCCCCAGGTCCTGTCACTCGCCAGGCCTGTGTTCTGGGTCTATTCAGGATCCTGCGACCCCGGGGTCTTACATAAATATTTTCTATGTGCATTTTATTTGAATATGACCTTGCAGAATGTGAAATTTTGTGCATATACTTTTATTTGTTATTGGTATTATGTAACATCTTATCTTGTTGCTTCTAAAGTCATATCCTGCTGATGTTTTGACACCTCTAAAACCAAGTTGCATCTTGCCATAGAAGGTTGTCACAGTGTAGTGTGCACAAGTTTTTCTCTTTTAGTGACATAAAATCTTAAGCTTGTGTTGAGCACATCTTAGATTCAAGATTTTAAAAAACATGCCTTGTATGAGGCCTCCTTCAGTAACCAAGTACAAATTTTTAAAGATGAATTCATCTTACTCTGTACTCAGAACAAATTGCTTGCAAGTGGCGTATAGTGTCCCAGGCAGACATCTCCTGATTTTACCATCTACTCTCCCAAGGGGTCCAAGCCACCACTGCCCCTCACATGCACCACTGCAGTCGCTTCCTACCCTTGGTGTATGCCATCTCTCCCTCATCGCTTCCACCATTGCCACTTTAGCATGTCACGCAAGACTGTCTTAACCCACTCTCACTGTGACTGTGAAAGAGCGACTGGGGTAATATATGAGAGGATTGAGTGGTAAGCCTGGATTTCCATATATTTTTATTCTTCCAAGGAGGAGAAAAGAATAAATAAAATGAGAACCATAAAAATTATTAAATAAGTTAAAGAGAGAAGAATGAATCACAGGGAACATCTACTTTTTAAACTTATTTATTATTTGGTTGAGAGAAAGACCTCAGAAATCTTTTTCTTTGGTCCCAGACATAAGTACAAGGATACATGGCTTCCAAGAAAGAAAGGCAGAAGTCTCTAGAAAGGCATGAATCAAAATGCCCTGCAAAGGTATTATGGACATGACACAGAAAGCTACCAGCAAATAGAACACAGGAGTTGAATTTAAATCAAAATAAGGTTTCTATTTCTTATTTTCTTCAAGGTAGTCCATAAAATGATGGAAAAAACATCCCAAGTACTCAAGTCTAAGACTAGGTGAAGACAGATGGGAACCCAAGGTCTCTTCTAGCAGCCCCCACTTCCTTTGAGGGCATTTGCCAACCTGAAGACTATGGGCAAGAGTTGTCAAAGGTTCTCTGACCTCAGACGAAGAGAGGCCAAAACCAGGACCCACTTCAGGTGTCCAGTTTAAAGAGACTTCCTTACCCACTCTGTACCAGATCCTTGGTAATGACTGGTGAAATAATACAGAGGGAGATAACTGAAAAGCCAAGCAAAAACTGGAATAGTAGTAAAGTTTTTCCAGATCACTATATGTACCAGCTTGCCATAAGGCATTAATTACTTCATGTGTTAAGACATCTTTGCTATTGATGCAATTTTATTTTAATTTTTTAAACATTTGTATCCAATTTATTTCACTTAAAATTAGGTTCTCAAGGTGCATCCATTTACCTAAAAGTGTCTGGGGTTTATGCTTCTTTATGGCTGTGTAGTACTCTGCTGCATATTGAAAAACGTATTTTCTTTTTGTACTCTTTTTTATATTGATTTTAATGAGAGAGAAATAGCAACGAGACAGTTTCTAAACAGGTTAATAGGACAGTAGCAATAATTAATACATTGCATATCGTTGTCCAAAGATACAATTAATGTAGTTTTAGACTGAATGTGATATATTACTGGCTGAAGAGACTTAAGAAATACAATTCAACAAAATCCTGATAAAACCCTAGCAACTTTTTTAGAAATGTATTTGCTAATCCTAAAAATGCATTAAGTGTTATGAATAGAGAACTGTCAAGATGATCTTTTTTTTTTTTTTTTTCAGTACCAGGGATTGAACTCAGGACCCTGTGCTTGCCAAGCAAGCACTTATTCTACTGAGCTATCTCCCTAGCCTGTCAAGATAACCTTGAAGAAAAGGAATGAAATCAAAGGATTTATACTCCCTCTTACTATCACGCTATTAAGACTGTGTGTTATTGACAAAAAAGATTGACAAATCAATGAAGTAGAACAATGTGTTTAGGAATAGACTCATACATATACACCCTTTAATATGGAACACAGAAACCAGTACATTTCAATAGGAAGAGGAAGATCAAAATCGTATCATCAGAAGTTTATGTGCAATGAGAGCTACCGTCCCAGCAATATGAAATACAACCTGCTACAAGAAAAAGAGTTAACTTCATATTTATTAAAATTAAAAGCTTCTGATCTTTAAAGGATACTGGGAAGAAAAACTCTAGAATGACAAAATGCTTACATTTCCCAGCTAGAAAACAGTTCAGATGTCTAACATGGGAATGATAGATGCACATACTTTGTTCTATTTATACAGTAGGACACTACTCAGCAACATAAAAGAAAACTGAGAGCCACAGTGAATTTTGTCTTTCCTCCTCTGAGCTGTAGGCGCTGGGAATCATGTTTCAGCAATGACAGTGTAACTGCAATACCAGCTCAAGTTATGATCACTTGTTCTGACACACATTCCTACCACTATTTTATGCCAGGAGATGACACAGTCAAGGGCAACTTGGCCAAAAGCCTGTGAATGCTTTTGTGCTTTGAACTTCTGTAGCTCTGAGCTAAACAAAACTCTGCTATCAAGGCAGTTCATCTCAATGTTTTGTTACAGTGATGAAAAGTTAACAAGCTCAACATTTAGTATAAAAAATGAGATACCTTGTATTTATTTCTTTTTCCTCTTCAGAAATGACTGAATCCTTGATATTTCCCACTGTTTTATCCATTACCAAAAATAAGCATATGACTGGTACTCCCAGCCAGAATGAGACACTCCTCCTCTGAAATTTTCATTTTCCTCATTGATAGCTCAATCAAATTGCACCGTAGCAATTGGTTTACATATCTTGACTCAAGATGGACTAAGCTGTTTTGGACTAAGTTGTTTGCCTTATGCACTTGGCATCTAATAGAGAGTGACCATCATGTATTGTCTCCAGAGTGTATAATGACAGGAGCTCAAGAAATTACAAATAAGAACAGAAAAAACTAGACATATGTTTTTGAAGAGATGAATGGTAACTACACATTATATGTACTTACCATGTAATTGAAGGATGTATCAGCAACTACTGCAAACTGACGAAATAGCGTGCGTCTGGTAAACATCTCATCCTTAAGGGCATGAAAGCTGAAATAAAAGAAACCATGAAAATAAAAAAGAGAAATATATA